GTGTGCAAGATCTGGAAATATACTGAACAGTGCAAAGTTTGCAGCCCAGAAATATTTCACTGTCTGGTGCCACTTTCAAAGACTGTGATCAGTGACACCTTGTAGAAATAAATGACATCCCATCATCGCTGCTACACCTGAAACCCGTGTATATTTTTAATATCAGCTGCCATTATATCTGCATATGCAGCGGTCTGTTTCAGTGTCCCACAGGTCCAGCTGTTGTTTGTTTTCTCTCTGTCTGCTTCAAAATGAGATGCAGTTCTGTCACTTTTCTCGTCTCTTATCCACATAACAATAAACCAAAGCAATAACAGCTCACCGCTGCATGTGTATGTTTGAAATCTATATCGCTGACAATACGATGAAACTACTTCTTCTGTTCGATGCAGATAAAACTGTCAGTTCTCATTCCAAGCCTGTGTCCCTGTATCTGCTCCAAATGATGCGTTAATAATCATTTCTTTCATTCTGACTTCTCTACAACAAGGCACTGCCCTAAAGCAGCACATCTGAGTCTTTGAAATAAAAACAAGACTGGGCCTCCTGTCCACCTTGTTTATATACGTTCAAGAAAACAAAAATGTGCAAATTGCGAGGCACTTCTCTCCCAGCACTCACATTTATCAATGGTTCCCAACGCCCACACTGAATTAGGTAAAAGAGCTTTAATGCATTCTGAACCTTCGGCTCGGAAGCTCTTGATTTAGAATTGCAAAATTTGGTTCCTCTTTGGGAATTACTCAGTGCTGTATAATCATCAACTGCACCAGTTAGTGTCTCTGAGTCGCACTTTAGAGTGGATTTAGTTTAATCCATGTGTTTCATCTTGATAGCTGTTGGGTTAATTTGAGGGATTCTGTAAATGCTCCAAAATTCTGTATACTTCAGTGTTACCTGTTTAATGTTTGCATTCATTGTTGTTGCTGCTTCGCATGCAGCGTGTTAATCTCCTTGTCAATTTATTTGGGAGAAAATCTTTGCCTGTTTTAAACTTCATGCCTTTGTCTGAGATCAAAAACCGTCTCATTAAGGTTGACACTAATTCATCCAGCACGGTCTGTAACCGACTCTACCTTTACTCAGCTGCAGTGTGTCATCAGCCTGCGTCTCCTGTGGACAACACTGAAGTTTCCTGCTGTGCTCACGTCCCCTGACATGTGCACAAACGCTATGTCATCCTGAGTTATTGATTCTTCTTTTAAATCTTTGGCTTTTTTTCTTTTTGTTACTTTTAATTTCCACATCTAAGTCCCAATGGACTCTATCTTTTAGTGTATAAATGTGCTTTAAAATAACATCGAATGAAATAAAAATCGGCAGCACGGCGATTTTATAAAGTCTCACATAAGAAATGAAGAATGTGTAAAACTCAACATAGTTTTTTCTTATTTTAATAGAAAACCAGAAGAAGAACAGAGATTAAACAGCGCATTTACGTATGCATACAGTCCCTTTTTCAACAACTCACTAAAAATAAATGTGCATGAAAAGAAAATACAGCAATCTTATAAATATAGGGCCCCAAAACACCTCAAAAACATATACCAAATGCACCAAAATGTAATGAGATGTTGGTTGAATATATTTGCACAAATATTCTGACAGTACCACTACCCCATGATCAGTGCCTTTTACTGTGAAGGTCCGGACTTCATTTTAGGTCATACAACTGCCATTGTAACTAAGATACATGCGTTTCACTATTATTGCCTTTGTTATTTAAAAACTGTTAGAAGTTTTCTCTCTTTTCATAATATCTATGTCTAGAAAATAAGTCTTGAGTTGTTCTTTTTGTATTTTTCTATTTTCCTACCTTGTTGGACCACAAACATCACAAATATTTTTTTGACTCTTTTATGCTACAACATTCCAGTATACTTACTTACAGGGATCGTCGTCCCATTAATGTTTCACGTGGCATTGCAATCGTGACGAGGGGAGGACAAACATTTTGACCTCTAGGAAAAGGGAGGAGTCCGACATTGACTACCTCTGTGCAGTGCTACTCGAGGACGGAGGAGGGAGGGGGGCGCACACAGCAGTTGGGCCGTCTGACATTTTGCAGCATTGACCTGAAAATGTTCTGCTGCCTCCTTTTGTTCTTTCTGCCTTGTCGCGGCGAATCAGGACCAGAGATTGACTTTCGGAAGGAGGTCTGGGCCATCAGTTTCCTCTCTTGCTCCTTGATTTTGCATTGCAAGTGGCTCTGAATGGCAAAACCAAGGGATTCTGGGTCCACAGAAGCCCCGTAGACCTCCCAAGTCATCCCTTGTTCATCCCAGACGACGTCATGCACGCTCTTTCCTTTCTGCTTCCCCGACTGGTCGTCCTCTTTGGCGTTTCTCTCTGGTTCTATTTTCTGTTTGCTTGAATTTGTCTCCTTTGTCCGGCCTTTACCTCCAGCTTCTTTCCTTTTTTCTTTTGAACTTTCATTTTTATTTTTAGGTGGATCTGCCTTGGATGTGGTTTTCGCTGCTGCTGCTGCTGGTGCTGCTGCTGCTGCTGTTGTTGTTGTTGGCAGGGCCTGGTCAGCCTTGGCTTTAGCAGCAGCCTGAGACAGCGCAGCTTTGTTACTGTCAGCAGATCCAGACTTGGAAACACCAGCTGTCTCTGGGGGTGTCCCTGATTTGAGAGAAGAAGCTTCAGCAGCGACTGTTTTTGCTGCGGATGCCTGAACTCCAGTCTTACATTGGAAGTCACCTGCCTCGCCTTGCTTCTTGTGGTTGCTGTGTTCGATGTTGATTTGATAAACTGGCTGGATGTTGCACGGAACTGATCCTGGTTCTTTAGGCTTGGCTCCCAGCCTCGAGTCGTGCTGCTGGGATAAAGTCTCAGAGTGGAAAACGATTGCTGCAGCATTTTGGTTGGGGCACATCTCTGCCTCCACAGTGAGTCTCTCAGACCTGGGGTCGATGGAGGAGGTTCGAGGAGTCACATTCGTCTGATGGAGACTCACATTGTCATTAACCTGGTAGACCACAGCCAGGCTCTGCACCTCCTCCCTGGGGATCGCACCACCGCTCGGCCTGCGATTCCCCGCGAAGGGAAACAGACTTGGACTCGTGGCAACAGCCTTACTGCACATGTCAGCTACAGCCTGAACCTCCATATCATGACACTGCCTGACCGGGGCTGGTGATTGGGATGAGGTCATAGTCGAAGCCTCCCTGTAGAGCTTGCAGTGTTGCTCCCCTTCAAAGGCAGCTGTGTCAGTCTGGCTGCTTTCCTCGGCCACCTGCCCGTATGCAGGCATATTTTGTATAGCCTGGGGCTGAGTGGAGGAGTGCTTCTGTGAAGACACTGGCTGATGTTTATCTGAGGAGACTTGCGGTCTCTTCACTGGTGGAATATCCTTCTCTGCATGAGCTGAACATGAATTCTCATTTTTAGACCCGGCCTCTGCGTCTTTACTCTTAGATGGAAGTTTAGTGGAGCTAAGCGGGGTTGATGTTTCCACACTTTGTGTAGGTTTCGGTGTTGCAGAGCCTGATGAGCAGGTCTGTATATGATCAGGCTCTTTAGCTTTCTGTGGTGTATCCTTGGGAGCAGAAATACTCCCCTTTTGATCTTTCTGAGGATCAGATGCTGTATTCCTTAATTCACTGGAGTTGTTCAGATTTTTGTCATTCGTTGCAACATTTTTATTACTGTTCTCTCGTGCCGTGTCTTTTGCTGAGGATGTCAGCTTCGTAGGCTCCTCCTCTGATGCACTTGGCCCTTTTATTCTGCAGTCCTCACTGTGCGTGTCGACCTTTGACGCTGTAACAGCAGAAGACAAATACGCGTCCTTTTCATTAGCGGGGCTTAACATTTTCACGTTAGCGTTAGAATCTCTCTGCTCGCCTCCTGCCTCACCCACACCTTGGCTTGTTGAAGAAAGGTCTGGCAAATGTTGATCTCCACCTGTCACATGCTCAGATTTTGTCTGGTTTCCGTTGCCTGGTTCTGGATTGTCTGACACAGTGCTGCTAACTGGTTCAACTCCCTTGGAAGCTGTTTTTTGGGTGTGTGGGATGGTGTTAGTGGGAGCGGTCGCCACAGACAAGTTATCCTGCTTGTCAGGAGATGTGAGGGTGGGTTTTGGACAAACCTGAGAGAGTTTGAGGTTGGAATCTTTAGCCCAGTTGGCATTAGGCTCCTTATTGCCCAGTGTGTCCGCCACAGCCAGCTGAGGCACCATCTGGACTGTCACTGTCCTTTTTGGGTTAGTTCCCATGCTGGATTCACTGTTTCAGTCTTTAAATATTGTCGTAATCCAAAGATCCAAAGCAGGTGCACAGTGGGCTATCGGTCACTTTTTTTCAGTCTCCTACAGGAGGAAAACAGAAATAGATTTAGTTTATTTTTAAACATTAACTAATCGTAGCATTTACATCATAAATCAGATGAATATAATCAGACTATGACTCCAAAAAAAATGATCCCACATAGTTTCACCAAACAATCATTAATATGCATTGAAATAATTGTTAGAATAAAGAGCCAAGCAGCAGAAGAACCAGTGAACCAACCTGCTTAATTTCACCACTGCTTGGAATATATGTGACTCCAAGAGTAACGTCCAAATGAATCATAATACATGATCATAATGATAGTGGTAATGTGGACTTGATTCAACTCTTTAGCAAGACATGATTTCAGTGCTATGATTGTAAATGATTCTCTATGTCTCTGAATGGTGTGTTTCCTTGTGACCTCCAATAATTAATACAGGATTTGGTGTTTTTGATGATTTAAGCATCCATTACATGTGTTGAATCCATTTCAAACTGCTCGGTCACGTTGTATGTGTGACAAAAAGAGTGAAACAATACATAAAAAAAGAAAAACTGGGGGAAATCCCTAAAGAGGATGTGAAAATGCTGTGTCAGTCTAAGTCAAAGCAAAGTTTACAGGCCTGTAAGTAAAAGTAAGCAAAGAATAACAATAAGACTTTGACATATGAAGGCTAAAAGTGCTTGCAGATAAAGTGTGTGTTCGATGAAAAGCTGTGCATTGTCCACATTTAGTCAAGTTTCATCTAATATTTTCTTGTTCCATTAGTCCATATATATACATTTGGCTGGCAGCACATCGCCCATTCAGCTGACGTTATAAAAACCAAGAATGTTGATATATATGTATATAGCTGATGAAGCTCCTGCTTTTTTTGCTTGCAGAAATTGACTCGGTTTGATTAAAGGTCACTGTGTTATGGGACAAATGCCCATAACTCACCAGTTTGTGCTACATTTCAATTATCCTTGGAGTTTTATTTGTTAAACGTAATGCAAAATGTAGCACATATAAAATACATAGATTTATTTGAGCAGGTCAACTGAGACTGCTCCCTGAAAGCATTCATAATACCTCATTTGAAGGTTAACTGACATTTCTTTGCCCTTTTAGTGAAATATATCCAATAGAGGTTTGAAAGCCAGTGACATGATTTTAGATCTTCGAGTCACTTTCGTGTAAATTCTACTTCTTTTTCCAAGGCTTGATGAATGACTCCATGTCGGTCTGTCTCTTAAACATGTAGAAGCATCTGGCCAAGTCTGTAAGTACTGTGTGCCAGCACTCAGCAGACTTTTGAAATATGTGATTCTTTGGACTATTACACTGCAATCAATTGTACAATCCTACAAAACAGCAGGTAGGCTCCATGCAAAGAGGAGGAAGAACCACCGATTGATAATTCAGTGAGGTGCAGCAAAGAGGACATCTGTTGGCCTTTTCTGTCTCACTGATATTATTGATGACAGTCGATTCTGCATAATGTGCTGTTCACCAGTGAAACAAATGTAAAACTCAAGACTCTTCACTGCAGCATTCTCCACACTGGGTTTCTTTTGGGAGGGACAATAACAAACAACAGATTTTTTTTTTATTTTTACACCGCACAGGTTTATGTCTCATTGCCAAAGAATAATTATTCCTGTCACACTCACTCAATCATCTATCACTTAATGCACTTGGCAACCCGAAGGCAGATCTTTAAGTGTGACAGGATTGTAGGTTACTGGTGTGGGTCATGGACAGGTGTAGCCCAGTTGTGTGTGTGCTCTGCCACTATGCATCTGCCTGTCTGTTGTCAAAGCGCAAATATTTATGGAAAGCATATCCTGTCTGTAATTAGATATGCAACAATTAAAAGACCTTGCTTATCTGGGCTTTTCTTCCCTCCCCCTTGTTGTTGTTGTTGCCTGCAGCAGTTGAACAGAAAGAGTGAAGAGAGTGCATGCAGAATGTGAATTCATGCAAAACGCCAAACACAACACATGCTGCATCCAAGTGATGCACACGACCTATTCAGGCCAATTAAGATCTCTGTCATGTACTGAAGCCTCTTGTCCCAAACCCAGCGTCTCACAATCCACAGATACGTGCTGATTTGATTTGACCTTGCCCACGAATTTGAACATCTAACGCAGAAGGTAAAGCGCAGTCGGATTAAAAGATGAGGACGACTTACCTTGAGATTTATGTCCCGTGCCGCGGGGTGCCGTTTTTGCGCGTCCGTGTCAGTGAGATGGGGCTAAACCCTTTCGAAATGAATATGGAAAAATCAACCCTGTGTCGGTGACACCAAGCCACGCCTTCCACCAGAATATGGGTCTTAGAGGTATCGATCGCTCTCAGCCGAGCGCAAAATTCAAGCACCCTGACGGACCGACCGTGCGCAATGAGTCACCGCCGTCCGGCCGATGGATGCAGCCTCTGAGCTCTTTATTAGCGCTGACTTGGGCTCAGAAAAAGCGGACCGTTTCCAAAATGGACCGTTCATGGTTTGTGCCATCCGAGACTGAGCCGGTCCGGGCAGGGCAGGCAGCGTGGTGCAGCAGAGTAAACCAGATGAATGGATGAATGAGGAGAGGATGAGGATGGAGGCAGCAGCCTGTTGTAAAAGCCGCAGGCATTCAGAGGAGGGTCACTTGCACTTGAAATTGATTAGTTTTAGATCCAGGCGCTGGCGCTGCCTCATAAGGCAGCCCATAAAATTCCGAGAGGATAGATGGCTTGTTTTTGCTGTGCCTGTTTGTGTCGTTCTGGAAATGGATTCATGCCTAGACCCTATTTGTTATGAGGCTGTTTGGAGGGACGCATTAAGCCAAATCAGGTTATGTTTCTGAATAAGATCATGCTTCTTAACATTACAAACTGCATTTTCAAAACCAACAGATTTTCCTCTGAGGTCTGCAGAATAAATTACCTCAGAAAGCAGGACATTTACATGATGCTACACCTGATGTCATCCAGTGTTTTGTTGTGTCAAAGATGCAGTTTATCTGACTTTGAAGTGATTTCTAAAGTCTCTGTTTTGTGTATAAAAGGTTACAATGCATAGATGCATCAATATAAAAGATCAAACGACAAGTCTAATGTTAACTTTATTCTTAACATGTTGAGAAATGTGACTTACTTGTTGAAATAAATTGGTTCAAATAAACTGTGATTGTAAATATGTTGCAGTACAGTAGTAATGTGTGTTTCTTGCTTGACTACTGCACAGAAAGTTGCTGTTTTTACTTGTGAAATACTGAACAGTACCCATAAGTACTACAAAACTATTAGAAAGAAAACAATCTGAGAGGGAAGCACAGTTCACAGACGTGTACAACCAGTAATGAAGGGAGTGCAAGCAGGTACTGGTCCATTTGAAGGGTCACACCAAAACAAGCAGAGCTGAGAGCCACTGTTCTGGTTGAGTTGGAGGAGGAGGAGATATGCTTACAGTAATTCTTTAAATCAAATAAATAAAATTATGATAAATTAATACAATTACATTTTCTTTTCATTTTTAAAAAAAGAGGATATTTAATAGTTATTCAGAGTTACAGGTGTCAACATAACATTAGTCATGTTAATTCATTGTGTTTTGGTAATTTTTTCATATTTTTGTGAATTTCAAAATTATGGGGAAATAAAGTCTGTAAATAAAAAGGAAAATTAATGTAGAATTACAGATTTTTCTCCCTACAGTGCATTTAAGACACTAATGTTAACCAAATGGCTAATTGGGCAGATGTAAAAATGTCCAATAGGTTAAGATTTCTCTGTTTGAATTCCTTCAGGTGATCAAAGTGTTTTCCCTGTTTGTTGTAGAAAATGTTGGGGATCGTCTGGCAGGATGTCTACACATCCTTCCTGAGATACTGGCTGAAGTGGCTCATCAGACAAGCAACAGGGAACTGTGAGCTGCAGAGAATACGCTCTGGATGTAAGCCAGGAGAAACAAGGACAAGAAAAACAAATGAATTAAATCATCCTTAATCTGGTTTACTTTTGCTTGTTAGTATACATTTTCTTCATTATCTTGGATGTTGTGGTTTCCTCTTGCTTAAGAAACTGTGACAGTATGAGGCTCCTTTTAATCACATCAGCCCTTCGTACATCCCTGTAGGTGAACATGCTGAGAGACACACACAACAGTGAAACATTCAGTAAATGATGGTGATTACATTTGGCTATTTCACTCTAACCAGCGGTTCTATAAAAATGATTTTATATTATGTGTGTCAGGACTGTTATACCTAATTTAATATCTACATTAGAGTCTTCTTCTGAGCTCATCCGAGGCTAATCTATCCGACTGTTATTATATTCTAAGTGGTTACTTTGGGGATTCACTTTTCAAATATAGCCTGGGTCTGAGACAGGAGTTCCTCTTGGATGGCAGTAATTGTATGGGATAGACCTCCTGCCTTTAAAAGCCCAGAGGGACTGATTAGGTGAGAAGGCAGACCGCGACTTAATTACAACCGAGTGCACCATTGGTGAGCAGCTCAGAATAGGCTGCATGTATTGTTGATAAACCAGATTACTGCAGCAGGCTTCTATGTAGCTACTTAAAAATTGCACAATTATCACTTGTTATTTGTTGTCTGTCTGCAGTGTTTTAAACAGAATTCAGACATCATGACACAGAATGGAATAATGGAGACCAAATGTCAGATTTCCATAGGATAACAGGGGAGCACGCTGATGAATTCACAGCCGAGAACGAGGAGGAGCCAAGAAACACCTGATTCAGCTGTATTTTGTTTTATTATGTAGAGAACCCTGTTTCTACTTAATGTCCAGCATCAGCAGTTTGTCAGGTTTTCTTGTATAGCACATTTCATACAGCTTCGTGCAGTTCAAAGTGCTTCACATACGACTTACAGAGCAACATAACGTGACTGATCTTTGATACAATTTTAATGTGCCACACAGAGTTATTATGTGGATCTGGCATCATCTTGTGGTTCATTTTGGAAAAAGCCTGTGCTCGGCTGGGCTGATTGGTTCTTTTATCTGAACCCAAACTGATCTGCAAACAGCAATTTTCAGCAACAATATTAAACTGACAGTTTTGGTTTGCCTATAATGCTAGATGTATTATTCAGCTGCTGCCTCAAATACCCAATTGTGAACGAAATGTTGTTTGCACACTGCTGTATCTGTGGAGCAGGAGTGCAGAGCAGTGCATGCAGCAGCAGCAGCAGTGTGGGAGCAGTAGATGGAGCTGCTGCAGCTTCCCAAACATGCATTGTTATGTTCACATACGTCATGTAATTCAGAGCTTACAATACATTCAAACCAAGTTCCTCGAATTGTGACCGCCATATCAACACATAAAATCAATTTCACTCCTAGAAAAGGCATTTTAAAGAATATACGTTTGATAGTTAAATGTAAATTTGTCGAAAAATGTTTCTGCTTCCTCGGTGTCTGATGCTGCCTCTCTGTGTGTCTGTGTGTGTCTATGCTGAACCTGAACGCACCGGAGCCAGAGCTGTTGTCAAGAGAAGCGTTGCTAACCCTCGTACCTCACGACTGGCGGCTTCAAAGTGGAAATAAGTTTGGCTTTTTCTCTGTCTGGAAACATTTTCCCTGGTGAGATTATCCTCGGCTGCTTGCTCTTCGTAAATACTATCAAACCCCAGAGTGCTTGCGTCGTAACCAAATGTGGGTTAACGCGATTTAGCTAGCTACACGAATACAATGACAACCTGTTGTCTGAAGTCGGTTAACTGTCATTTGTGAGTTTTGAAGCCAGTTAGCCTCGCTAGTTTGTTAAATTCAGAGGCAACGAGCCAGTAGTTTACCAACATTAACACACACTGCTTGTTAAAGCGCCACTAAAGTCGCTGAATCGTTATAACTAAACGGAATGAGCACGTTTGTCAGAAGTTAGCATTAGCATCCATGCTAGCTGCCCTCCGTGCTATTGTTTTGGCTGTTGGAGTGTGGACTAGCTGTATCTATCCCACTCACATTAGCATGATCCGCTTATTTATAGGCTTTGTATTTGTATTTAATGGTGACTAACAGTTTGCTGATCTTTTCCTATCCCGAATAATAAAATACTGTGGCCGGTTGTAAAAGGAAGAATAATGTCAGCTGTTTCTAATGGTGGCCATTGTTAGTGTGTCACAGACAGACCAGTGTGTCAGCAACATCAGTCCCACTAGTAATAATAATGTGGTGGAAAGTACCTGAGTACGTTTACTCAAGCACCAAACTGATCAATAAAATGCTTACTCATGCTGCTTTTCCACCACATTTAACCAGAAACATATCATTTTTGTTAGTTCATTCAAATGCATTATCAGACAGCGTAGTTCCTACTTATTCATCTAATTCATTCATTACAAAAAACACACACACGATGAGTAACGGGAGTAGAGAACTGGTGAGAATATGCAATATAGAGTTGTAATTTTGTAAATAGTAAAACATGCTAAATCATTTTAGGAATTATTAAGGGGTGGACAAGTCAGTCATTGGAGCAGGACACGTAGGAAAAGTTATTTTACTAATTCACAGATTTACTACTATGTTATTATTACTGCGTGAAGACTTTGCGTACCTTTTCATACAAAATCCAGTTTCTTTGTGTCAGTACTGGTGTATTTCATGATCATATGTGCTTGTCTGCATTGCACTGTATGACAATAAGATAGAACTTCTTGATCCCAAAGGAAATTTTGTACCACATTTTACTGAGAAAAAAAAATCTTTAGCCATTTATCGTAGCTTGAAAAGTATTTTCTTTATATAATGACACTTACTAGGTTAAGAATGTAAAGCTAATGCAATTAGGGATTTCCCTGACTGAGAATCGACCTTTTGTTGGTGACTACACGTTTGCTTACAGTAAAGGCAATGAGACTGTGTTACCTTAACTGACAAAAAAATCCTACGTTTTTCTGATATTTCTGACCATTTGATAAACAAAAATCTTTATTATGCTTGAGTAAATGAAATCCGATTTAACAAAACTGATTAAAAACTGGAGTTATTATTTTTATTTTTATTTTCAAGTTTTACCCTTTAGGCCTTGCATATTTTCCTTTTGTGCTGACTAAGACCTCTTTTGGGAGGTGCCAAAAATGCGTCTTTGTAGGAAAACCCCTGCAATACAGTGGTATCACCATTATGTCTACTTAAAATGCTGAGTTGCGTTTTTTCACACAGTTAAAGAAGGATTGATTGATGTATAGTTTTAAATGATAAATAATGCAGTTGTACTGGGCGACATTAAATTCAGTAATGTTTTTAACAATCTGGCTTCAGCATGTATGTAGAAAGGGAGGAGAAAATCAGAGAAATGCTCCTTTATACGACTGCACCTTTAACTGTGTGATACGTAGTTGTCACATTTCTGCATTTCTGACAATGTCAAAACAACTGAATATTTCAAATTTTTGTAAAGGCAGAATTTACAGCAGATTTTTTGTTATTAGATTGAATTTGACTGTATTTATTTAACTTTTTATACTTTATGTTCATTTAGGTGTAATGGCAATACTTTATCTGAATATATAATTAGTTAAATTACATTTCACAAGAGGATTCTTACTTGTGTGGGGTATTTTTACATAATGACGGTGCTGCTTCTTCAACCACCGTCTGTATGTGTTTGTAACGGTCTCATGCATGTAAAAAACATTTATGGGCTTTAGTCACATGTTAACTTATACAGACACATAGCTTGTGGATCCATAGCTTTCCAGGATACAGAGTAAAACCTGAAGCATTGCCCCATAACCCCTTTTTCAGAACCAGGAGGAGTCTTTGACCCATTTCAGACATTCATGTTAACAAAGTGGCTAATCAGACAAATATTAGAAACGTGTAAGAAGTTAAGATTTGTATGCTTGAATTCCTTCAAGTGATCAAAGTGTTTTCTCTGTTTGCTGTAGAAAATGTTGGGGTACATCTGGCAATATGTCTACACGTCCTTCCTGAGATACTGGCTGAAGTGGCTCATCAGACAGGCAACAGGGAACTGTGAGCTGCAGAGAATATGTTCTTCATGCAAACCAGGAGCAACAAGGACAGCAAAAGCAGGTGAACTGAATCATCCCAGATCTGATCTACCTTCACATCTAAGTATACCTTTTCTGCAGCATCTTACTCTGCCTCTTGCGTCCTCTTGCAGAGTACTCTCTTCGGTGTTCAAAGAACAAGGTAAGACAATGTTATCACTGTTAAGTTAGTTTTGTTTCTGATATCCAGGATTACTCCTGGTAAATTCCAGTTTTAGCTGCAGTTGTTGTGGATTAAGAAGCTTTCAGTGGAGCTGTTTCTGTTATATTATGCTCAAGTTTCTTATGCAGCTGTTGAAAGATAAAATACGTGATCGAGAACAATTAGATACATCTAATAATAATCTTGATTAATCAATCAGCCAATTAAAAGTACCTAGCACTTTTTTGTTACCGCTTCTGAACATGAAAATTCATTTGCTTTACTTTGTTTTCATATCACTGAAAAATGTATATATTTTAGGTTTTATTTTATCTTTCATTTAGGTTTTTCTTTCATCATTTATCAAAGTGAGACATTAGTTTGAGCTCTGGGAAATTTTAGCGTTAGATATAAATGACCTCTTTTTGATATTTTATCACCTAAATACTATAATGAAAAAAAGTTAATATGTTATAGGTTGTAGCTGCAGACATACAAAAATGTTTTATGCTTAAAAAATGCACAAAAAAAACCGTCTGAAGAAACAAAATAAAACAAAGTTGTGGGCTGAACTTCCTGTACAGACACAGTCAGACATACGTAGAGGTGTTAAAAACAGGCAACACGAACACATCATTTATATACAGTATGGCTTTTATTGAACAGTAATGACGAGGGAAGGAGTTTACTTGATTAAAATGCAAAGACACGAGTTCTAAACAGACATGCCAGAAGCTGTCTCTCTGTTTTCAGACTGTTGTACAGTTTCCATGAAAACAATTATGCAAAATCTCTGCTCCTAGACTGTTTGAGTCTTGACTGTGAGATGACTGTTGGTCTTTGTTCCCTGTTTTTTCAAACTTTGAAAAAAAAATCACTGCATAAATCCAATTAAGTGTCGATTGTTTCTAGACTCTGCTGGTTCTTAGAAGTGTAAATGATCACCCTTTGCTCAACCTCAGAGCTCTTCATTATCTTTCAGGTCATTGTATGTGTGAACTTGAATAACATCGTATCCTCTGAGCTTAATCAGTTCTTATCTTTCAAAACACTTGCCTAGCTTAGATGAATTGACTCTACATGTCATTTATGATTATAGCTAGACAAGCATTTTCCAATCAACAGTCCAGTCGGTGTAGAAACAGAAGTGCTTGATCATCTTTTTCTTTTTCTGAGGTTGACAGTGAAAACCTTTTTTTTCGCTGTAGTTGAAGATTATCTAGCAGCCACTGTGCCAATTTTCCTGTCTGGTGACTTTCTATATCATTATTTTTCTGTTGCCACCGCCTCCTGTCCTGTGTGTTCTTCCTCTGTAGGTTGTAAGAGGAGCCTTGGAAACCAGCAAGGATAATTTAGAGCAATGCGTGAATCAAATTATGCAAGAGAAGAATGTCAAATCTCAGAAAGATCCCCAGTAAGGTTACTTCTATTGTTTTGAATGTGTTTATCATCTGCAATTCTTTTATTCAAGTGTTGTTTTTGATCTAGTTATGACTTATTGGCTGTACCGCTTTTGTTTTTTAGGTTCAAGGCGAGCCTACACATCTGTCTGCTCCAGATTACAGGATACAGCAGCTTGTATACATCTGTAGAAGACCTGAGAAAGGAAGTTTTCAGCTCAGACAACCCTGAACATGAGGCTATGCTTTTAAAGGTATGGATTCATGCTTCTAGATCCGTACCTTAGTGAAACAGTTGCTGTCTATGTTGAAGCTGTGTGGTTACTGATCCACAGAGCAAATATGGATATGTGTAAAGTGTATCTATATTTTGTTTTTCTCTTCTTTTCGTCAGGCCTGAGAAGATCATGTGTATTACTGTTTGCTTTAGATGAGATTTGAAAATGATAAACCACCAAAATGTTTTTAAACTTGTGAGTTTTGCAAAAATTTAGCATTTTGGATCAGTCTTTGTGTATTTTTTTTAAACACATCAATTTTTTTTTATTGAAGTGATGATTATGAATCCAGATCAATCAAATTCACATCAGGCATTGTTGTAACTATAGCTAGTACAGTGCCGGTTATAGTGTTTGACTTCTGTTTTATTTGTGTTCTCAGCTGTGGGACTTGTTGATGCCATCAGTCAAACTGGATTCCAGGATCACCAAACAGTGGGGAGACATTGGATTCCAAGGAGACGACCCCAAGACAGACTTTAGAGGAATGGGCCTGCTCGGCCTAATCAACCTTGTGTGAGTACTCAGCCATCAATGTCTGCAAGCTTCCCAGACTCTGTGGCAGTGACGCAACCTCAAACTACAACATTTCCACCACTCAGCTGCACAGTTAGTACAAGGTTCTCCTCCCTAAAAGCCAAACAACTCTTTGATTCATCTGTCCACAACACAGTGTCCCAAAAGCCCTGCTCTTTCTTTGCATGTTAGCTTACAAGCTGTCGTTCTGCTCCAGTGTTCTTTGTGGACAGCCAAGGTTTTTGTCTGGCACGCTGCCCTTGCAGCTCAAATTTGTGCAATCTCTCTCTGATTGTAGACAGATGCACTTTGACACCAACCGTTAAAAGAATTACCTGCACATCCTGTGATGCATTTTTCGACTTCTTGGAGACTTCTTTTTGCATCAGACGGTTTGCTCTAAGGCTGAATTTGTTGTATTTGCAAACTTTGTAGCGTCTGTGTCTAAAAATTAAACCGAGTGTATCTACAGTGAGGCTTCAAGAGTCCTTGTAAATAATTTATCTGTGTGGACTTGTGCATGTGTGTTCACAACTCACACCACACCTCACAGTCACAGTTTCGTGGGCTGGCTTGTGACATACTGTCACTTACCAGACAAAACAATAATACTGTCATAAAAGTGATCGCCCTAAAAACAAGCCCTACAGTAAACACTAGGGATGGGTACTGAGCCCTGGTATTAAATGAGTCCCGGGCCAAAATTTTTAAATACCGGAGGATCGACAAGCTCCGATGTTAATGGTTCTGTTAACGATACTTTAGAGAGAGAGATCGTTGTGTTGCACAACTTAACTTGTCACTGGAAGACGTGTGACTGTGTTTAGGAAGCACTTTTACTGTCCAAATCCTAAACAGTGTTCTGAGCTACAGTCTCTGACAGACACAACATCAGGTGTGTTTGGGGCAGAGCAGCTCTTTGTCACCTGCAGCTCTGTGCAGCAGCACCCAGGTGACGAAGGTCCAAAAGTTTGATTTAATTCTCTACAGTTGTTGCAGAAAATGTTCTTTCCTACAAAAGTACAATATGCATGCATCGCATAATATTTTATGTTGTGAGTAAAACCTGTGACACTGTCCGTAGTGCTCCGATCATCCCATCAACACAATATTAACGTCTACATAAATCTAAATTCTTATACAGTATGTATGAGACATTAAAGCAGTCTTTATTCTGTTTCTAAGTTGCTTAATTTTTTTCTCTTTAAAAAACCAAACAAGCAAACAAAAACTATCAAAAAGTACCAATAAGGCTACGATTAAAGTCCCGGCCTGATAAACAGTATTGGTAAAAGTAGTAGTACGGTTAAAATCTTAACAGTTCTCATCCTTACTAAGCACACAGGGTGAGAACAGTTCTTATCTGCTTGCCAAGGCTGTGTAATGTACTTACAAAATTATACCATGAATTGACATGAAATACTTGCTGAAAGTTGTTATAGCAAATGGGTTAAAGGCAAAATGTTCAAGAGCACTGTACGTTCTACACACACCCTGTATAACAAGGGATTTATTAGGTTTTGCCAGATTAATAACATTCATTTCTTTATTTAGACAAGAGTTGTGCTTTAGAAAATGATACTCCAATATTTTGAATAAAATGCTCCTTTATGAACATTTACAGTTGTCACACTGAGTGCATGTTTCCTGATTAATGCGGTCTTAACCACAGTCAGGGTCAAGGATTGCTTTACGATGACTAATAATGATTCTTTCATTTTTTTCTTTGCTCTTTACAGGTTTTTTAGTGAAAACTACACAGTGGAGGCTCGTCAGGTGTTGTCTCACGCAAACCATCCTAAACTAGGGTAAGAGGCAATCATGTGTGAACATCAGTTTATTTTTCATTGGTGCTGTGTCAGAGGTTTAAGCTTTTTTAAATCACTGTATTATTATCACTAGACCGAGACATGAACAGACTTGGATAATTCAGGTTCTCCAGGATCACCATGCCCTCTGTGTACACAGTGTGGACTGTCACTAAACCTCCCCTTTGTACTCATTGCAACTTGTGCATATTTTAGGTATTCCTATGCCATAGTTGGGATCAACTTGACAGAGATGGCCTACAGCCTCCTGAAAAGTGGTGCTTTGAAGCCACATTTCTACAATACAGTCCAGGGCACACCTGAGCTGCAGCATTTTCATCAGCTGTACTGTGAGTAACAAAAATCGTTCTCCTGTTCCTTAAGCAGAAATGTTGTTTCTGAAGAATTTTCTAAAATGTGTGTTTTTCTTCCTTTAGGTTATCTGGCGTATGAATTTGATAAATTCTGGGTGGCAGAAGAACCAGAGAGCATCATGCACTTCAATCAATACAGAGAAAAATTCCACAACATAGTGAAGGCACATCTACTGGAGCCTGATGTGTCTCTCACACTGACTGTCAGCTCAAAAAACTAACGTTTTTGCACCATTGCCCGTAACACTGTTTGATCTGGTAGAAGAAAGGTTCAGCATGAGCGCTGCTGACACATTTGAAGCAGACTGAAGCTGGTCGATGCCTCATATTCCTCAAAAACCCAAACGAATTAGTCCTCTTGTGTTTGGTTTTGTGATTCATTCGTGATGCTCAGTCCATCTTGTTCCAGTGACAGTTATTTAAAATAGAGCACAAATCGAACACCTTATACCTCAAAAATGACCATTCCAGTGGTTCGATCACTCATAAAGGGGAAGCGAGCGCTGCTGCAGAGGACCGTAGTGATGATAATGGCTCTGTATGTTGTAAGGCTTTAAGCACTTTCAGTGAGCAAGCAGCCAAATTGTTGCATTAAAAGACAGTAAAATGGTGATTAACAACCATATCTTCGCTGTCTTGTTGTATTTATGTGAACAAAGCCTGTGTGTTCTCACATTAGTCCTGCTCAGGAATTTAATATTTATGTTCAGAGGTAATGGTCGAAACTAAATGTAAGGAATAATTTCCAGTTTTTGACGCTTCATTGTGGTGCTTTCATCCTAAAAGTTGTGCATGTTTTAACCAGTCCTCACTGATGTCATTAATGTCAACTGTGTCATTTAATTTCAGTGACGTGGACCTTGAAATGGTTGTAAGCAGCAGTTTTCATAAATTTGTATGTCTTAAGACTGAACTTTTATTACCTGTTGTTTTTATGCTGTGATTTGCTTTCGAGGCAGGTATGTAAAAACTCACACATCTTGCGCATCTTGAGTTAATAAACACACATTTGATTTGAAAAGTGTTTTTCTTGTGCATGTGTCAAACGGGGGCTGCAGGGTGGCGCAGTTGGTAGCACTGTTGCCTCGCAGCAAGAAGGTTGCCGGTCCCGGTGGGAGCACCGGAATCTTTCTGCGTGGAGTTTGCATGTTCTCCCCGTGCAGCATGGGTTCTCTCCGGGTTCTCTGGCTTCCTCCCACACAGTCCAAAAACATGTTGAGGTTAATTGGTGATTCTAAATTGTCTGTAGGTGTGAATGTGAGTGTGCTTGGTTGTCTGTCTCTAAGTGTAGCCCTGTGATAGACTGGTGACCTGTCCAGGGTGTCCCCTGCCTTCGCCCTAAGTCGACTGGGATAGACTCCAGCCCCCCCGCGACCCCAATGAGGATTAAGCGGTGTATAGATAATGGATGGATGGATGTGTCAAACGGCAAGTTAAAGAAGCAAAAGCAGCATTTGTAAAACAAGTCAGATATATTTAGGATTTACATAAACATGTTTTACACTTTACTGCGGGTGCCAATGTTATCTGGCATACGTAAAGATGCACTGCTTAAAGCTGCCTGACATGTAAAACTGGCAGATTTAGAGTCACAGGTCAGTTTCACAGATATGGAATAGATCTAGTCCTAAAAGAAAACAAAAGAAATTCAATGAAGAGCTGCATTAAAAAAAACTTTTAATCCAGGACTGTTCAGGTAAACTCAGCCTTATGTGCAAATTAAACACATGTCCAGACCATTTACTCCCACAGTGTCAGGAATGGGCCCATTGGGAGAAATTATAAATATAAAAGGAGAGGTGTGTGTCTTCTGATACACAGAAAGTCAAATTCATAGCGGATTGTCCAGTACTCCTTTTTAAACAAAGGATTTTATCTTTTGTCACCACTGGGCAAGAAGATTATTGGATAAAGCTAAAACAAGAATTGCATTTACATTAGGTTTCCTCATCAATGTTCCAACCCAGCAGTGGTTCAGGTTTCACAGTCAAACTTTGACACAGGAATCTCAATTTGTGGCTTCCATCCTCTTCTTTGAGACCATCATGGCTCTCTTGATTTGCTCGAATGAGACAAACATTACGACGTTCCATGATCCCAGCCTCAGAAACGAGGGCACGAATCTACAGAAAAAAAAACAAGAAAAGAGTTTGGACATTTGAAGAATAAAAGCTAGGAATTGTCTGACAATGTTGTGTTGCCTAAACTGTATTTAAGTTAAATGACGTCAACTGTAGATGTTCCTACGCAAGTGAGTTTGCACTGGGGGTCAAAGAGGAAAGGTTTACCCTTTGTAGAACGCCGTGGGCCCCTCTTTAGTCAACATGGTCCAGGCACAGTTGATCGCACTCTTGTACTGGCCTGGTGGAGAGTTCATGTATCTCGTTTTCACCACGTCTACCGGGGAGGCGATCACCGTGGTAACAAAGCCGGCACCGAACGCAGACACAAAGTGGCACGGCAGGTTGTCTGTGGAGAGAGTTTTAAAACACCTGAATGAATTGCAGTGACCCGGTCTTGTTTGTTCCCAGCTGTGAACTGTAGAGACCCTTGTCAGCACGTTATGTAACCGTGTGAGTGGGGCAATACGATGATGGAGATAACTGTGGTATTAACTACTGTATTTACAGCACTGTGAGGGGAAAATACACCCTGTACTGTACTGTGCCAGTGTGTCCTTATCAGCTGTAGAGGAGGTACCAGGGTGTGTGGATTCTGGCCAATGAGCTGTCTCCCTGAGATGTCAGCACTGTAGCAGAGGAACACATGCATGAACACTCACCTGACAGCAGGTTGTGTCTGAGGATGGCCTCCTTGATCAGGTCGTATGTAACCAGCTCCGTGCAGTTGACCAGTGCGTTTCTTGTGATGTTGGGTAGAGTTCCTGGATGAAACAAAACAATCCTGAGTCACTCTAACAGCATTCACTCATTGCCTCCCACCTGACCCTTCCCAATCTGAAGGGTTTTGATACAGTTATAAGATACAGCTGTTTATTGATGTTCAACAGCTTGAGTATACTTAATGAAACCAAAATTTGCTAAATTTTACTTTCATGCTACGAATATTTTCCGAATTATTGGACTTAATTGGAAAATCATTGCGACTCACAAAGAATCATTGCTAGAAAATGAGTCTGGTATCAAAATGTAGATAAAAAAACAAGAAACTTTTGTTAGTTAGTTCTGACCAACCACCGATCTCACATATGACCCTTTAGAGTGTACCTAAAAATACGCTTCTAAAGTTTTCTTTGGTGAATCATCAGAAAAACCAGATAACACATTCAGGGTATCAAGGCTTGTTTGTATTACTCAATATCACTGACATTAAACTGGTGCAGTTTTGCAATTGCAACTGAAACCATGATATTGATGCTCAAAGTTGGTTACAGAAAAAAAAAATCACGCTGCACAATCGTGTTGGCTTTGGATCGAGATCCCTGGAATGGATGCAAAAGGGATTTGGTTGCAGTTGTTAGGAGACCTTAAATGTGTGTTTTTTTTTTAGAGAGCCTGTCTTGTTTAAAGAGCTCCAACATGCTGGAAAAGATAACAGGAATTACTAAGCAAGAAATTTCAACTCTATGTAATTCAAAGGCCTGTAAAATATTTGTAGTGTTATGATAAACTTTTGCATGGTTTCATTAGATATAAGAAAGCTATTAAACATAAACAAACAGCTGATTCTGAGGGTGTGCAGTGGGACTTTTTTCAGATTTAGTTGGTTTTATATGGAAAGACCATCCTCAGATATTATACTAATGAATGATTTCTGGTTTGTGTTCTCGCTTAAATGGCACCTTTCCAGAGTCCTCGCATTCCCTCATTCTGGAAGATGTGTTTGTAGGCCTGCATGGTGCCGTTGTAGCGACGAGCCACACCATCCAGATTCATCTGGGCTTGGAATCGAACCTTGACCACGTCGGTGGGTTGTGCAAAGGACACTGCCATGGCTCCTGTAGTGCAGCCGGCTAGGATACGAATCAGCACACTGGGGTCTACGGAAAGACAGAACCAGCAGAATATAACTTAACATGTGCACATTTACTGCATTTAATTACAGCATTGACAAGTACTTTACTGGAGTTTTGGGCATTTTATTATTTATTTCACAGATTTAGCGATTAGTCACTTTTTTGGATCAATATTTGCATTTAAAATGCCTCATCTGCATGTAAAAGGAAGATAAGACAGAGATTAAACCACCCAGACGGCAAAAATGCCAGCAAAAGATAAGGTTTCTTGAGATAGACCTATTGTCTTCAAATACTTTCCTAAATCTCTTTAACTTGTCACACTTTATCTGTATTGAATCACTTTTCTCCTGCATAAAGCTCTTATTGCAGGTCTGTCTGCTCCTCCTTCGCCCTCTCTTTATTTTTCCTACAAAAAGTTTGTTTGATTGAGTTTATCTGGCTTGATATCTAAGGACACAGGGTACCTCTTGTAAAACAGATTGTAAAAGCCTGTGATGATTGTGATTTTGGGCTCTAAAGATAAAACTGGCTTGACCTGACATCCTTACTTGATCCTACAGTTTTTACTTGTGACATTAAAATGACCCATGTCTGTCACCAGGTATGTTCAGATTTATTAATGATTAAAGATAATAAATATATAATAATTTGTTTATTTTGAAATATGTCTTTTATAGTACTTGTGGAATAACCACTTACTGTCTTTTCCGCCGGTGTAGAAGTTTTTGACATTGTCGTAGAGGCCGATTCTGATGGAGGCGAAGCACAGCTGCCTCTGCAGCCCAGCTACCAGCCCGTTATACAGAGACTTGGGCCCCTCTGTTCGGATCATGGTGCTGATGGTCCCAAACACCCCCCTGTAGCGGATGCCCTCCACTCCCTTCTTCTCTCCCTGAATCTGGGGTCACACATTGTACTCATGGCTTAAACCAGCTTTACACAACAGAAGTAGAAAACCTTTAGACCAAACAGTGCTGCGGGACATGTGCAATTGATTTTGGGGTGCTGAGGTGGACAAAGTTGAACGTCAGACTGCTCTGTTAAGAACGCCGACAGCACACTGTGTTCATAAGTAGAATACAGCAAAACGAGAGCAGCTGAAGATTATATTCACAACATGATATCAGATGTATTTCAGTGACAGTGAATACATTGTGTGTTTCCTTTTCTTTTCTCACAACTAACATGTACCTGTAGTCTGACTTTGGCTGTGTCCAGAGGAAATGTGACGATATCAGCTATACAGGCAGCTGCTCCAGCGCTCGCCATCTTCACCCCCAGAGGAGGAGGAACATCTGAGGGTTTAAGTCCTACCATGTTTCCCACTGCACACAAACACACACAGGCAATGTTGGATTCTCTCATAGAAAACCAGCACATAAACATTAACTTCACACACTAATCATTTATCCTGTTTAAATGAAAGGCTTTTATGAGCCAATAGTCAAAGTGTAGATTGATGATAAAGAAATGAAACAAGCTTACATTGTTTGTCTCCAACTTAAGGTTCCTTGTGATGCTCAGTTGTTTGTTACCAGGCAGGATTCGATCGGTCAGATTTATAATCCATAAAGGGCCTCACTCCACGGAAAGGACAGAAGCATCTTTTGCCTTGTATTTATATATTTTCTCCCCGGCTTTTTTATGACATCCACAGAGAGGCGTTACTGTGTGCTCCTGTACACCCGGGTCAAATCAAAGTCCACAGACTCTCAGAAAGTCAATGTTCAATTTACCCCACAGTGCAGGCACTTTATAGAAAAACAACTATTTCACTTCCCAGCTCTGTGGCTGTAATTTAAAAGTCTTTTCATCTAAATTGTTGTATATTCCCCAAAGTGTTTATACATTGTGATTTGTGTCTCTTTATGTTATTTTTGTGCTTTCAGATTTGCATTTGCCGTCTCACTCAGTACAAGAAGTAGAATTTGTATATAAGCAGATTTTGTTTGTCTTCTGTCTGTCACTGACTTGATATGAAGTAATTATTTACTTCATTAGACCAAGTGTCTGCCTGAACAGCAGTGACAATAGAGCAGGATCAGATGGATTCATTGGAGGTTTGTCTTTTCTCTCAGCCAATGACAGCACAAATGTGTGAACAACAGTATTTACAGCTGATTGGCTGAATCACAGTCTGTTCTGCAGATTTTATGGCCGGGCTTCTCAGCACGTTGTCCTTTCACTTTTATAGCAGCGCTTCTGTATCAGTCAGTGTCCGCTCGCGCCGTCCCTTCGTTTATAATTTCTATCGTCTGTTACAGCGTTCACATTTTGGTGAAAGATGAGCTGTGGGGGGATCAGAGGTGGGAGAGCTGTGACGCCAACTGGTGACTGAAGTTCAGCATATAGCAGATAAGAACTTTGCATCACACCATGTTTGGCCTCTCAGCAGTTTGGCAGGAGTAGTGGTTGTTTCATAACACAAAGTGGAGCCTACATAGCTTCTGAAACAGTATGGTAAGTTTTAGAAAGTTATAGGAGGTGAAAAACATGCAGATGTGCTCTTATTCCCACAGCTGCCAGTTTAGTAGGTTCATCTATAGCAAAAAGTAATGTAGTCCAACACAGCAGCCCTCCACTCATTAAGTTTATACGGTTCAGTCGGTTGAAGCTGTTTCAGAGACATGTTTGCTCCTCATTATGGCTATTCAGAGGCTGTAGTTTGTAGTGCTGCCAAATTGTGTTTCATATTGTATTATATGTGTTACTAATATTAAATATTTGCCGTCCTATTTATTGCATATCAGCAAGCGTCTTAACTGCTAAATAAACACACCTCTAAGACAGTTTCACAACAAAGTGAACATTACAACTTCCAGGAAGTTAGATTTGTGGCTGGATTGTTTTGTTAGACTTCATTACTTCTGGTGAGGCACGCCTCATCAATTCACTTTAATTCCATTCAGTTCAATTCATAAGTCAGTATATTAAGTTACAGTAACATAGAGAGAACCCAAAAATCCCCCCTTGGACATAAGCTGATAACTGAATGTATAATAAGAATAATAATGCATAAAATCCTTATAATAATAAACATTAGGGGGAAAATATTTTTGCATTTGAAACAGAGAAATAAAACTGAAAGTATGCAAACTAAGCTACAACAAAAGACACTCAAGCTTTTTACTTTCCCATCAATTTTCTTTATTTTATTGCATTTTTCTCCCTATTAAGGTAATTATTATTGGCTGGAAATACAACTGAAACTACTATATTTATTAAATAAACCCCACAAAAGACTTTTTTAAGTTTGATTTTATGATTTACAGATTATACAGATTATGACGGCTGTAGCAGAAATATTCTATTCTAATCTAATTTCTAGCAATATTTTATCAGTGTTTCCTCTAGGATGTTTTTCAGCGGCGGGGGCAGGCTTTCCGTGGAGTCATGGTGACGTAAACAAATGACACTTGACTGTAGGTTTTACTTTTACAACCTATTTGTTGAATGGCCAGTTGAAAATTTTAAAGGCTGAATATAAAAATAAAAAATAAAATAAATTAATAACCAACAAAATTAATTAAATAAAAACCATAAATAATAATTTCCTGATGGGGCTGTAGAATCAGTGGCAAAGTTTGAACCCAGGCTCAGAACAATTACATTTTCTGGGTTTTTATAAAAGAGTTTGAGGCTCTGTTGTAGGAAAATTGTCCGAGATGTGGCCGCTGAGGCTCAGCAGCATACATGATGCAAGCTGATCCCCCTGCAGCCTGTTTCTCTAGTCAGTCTTCACTTACAAGTAGAAACAATGATCAGATTGTTTCTCTCAATTTCCTACACCCCAATCATTTGTAAAATAGTTTCTAGTTTGTGTCTGATGATATATTATTAAACATCTCACCCTATTCATCGCTGAAAAATCACTCTCACAGTTTTTTTCTCACATGTAGGGTCCCAGCCTAGGGTCTCATCTCTCTCCTGCTCCTCCACTCTGCTCTCCTTCACTTTGTTCCACTGCTCCTTCTCTGTCTGATATTACTTGTCTTATACATTTAAATAAAACACTAATGTTAGATCTTCTACACTCACATCGCATCTGATTACAAGCGTGAACACTATTTTTTTTTTATCTCACCATCATCATTTATGAGTCAGTAAAAGGCTAATGATACCTGGCTTGCGTCACCTTCATCATGAAGGTCATCTGAAGATGCAGTCAGCAGTTCCATCATGGCGTGTAGATGTTACCTTAATGCTATCAGTTAGTTTACTCACGTTAATGACATTGAGTTGGCCCCGGGCCCAATTAACATAAGCTACTGATATATTACATAACGTTAGCAGGCCAACAATATTTTGTGAATGTCTATTTAGCTTGCAAAATCTATTCTGAGTTATCTTAAGCTAATAAGTCTACCTTTCCTCCAGTAAGTCGATGACCTATTCTCCATGACGACCCTCCTCTGACTCTCTGACCTGGAGCCTGGTGCTGGACGTGACGTCACTCTCAAGGCCGCGCTCTCGCCTTATTTCAGTCGCTCTGGAATTCTCAGACATTATAACATATTACAGCCACAAAGATAGGAAAATAGAGCATACAGTCAACCTATACATAAAACATCATATTCATAAAGCTAAGTTTAGCAACAATAAGCCCCACTTTTCTGTATTGATGAAAGAATGTCATAGTTACTTCATGTGCATATCTTCGGTTTATGATAAAATTAAAAAAAATATATAAAGCTGTTAAAACATTGGACATCATGCATACATTAGGAATTATTTCTGATAACCAGGTCATTGACTAAACTGGGTAATTTACTTTCAGGTTTCCATATGCACACAGACACATCCTTATGAATGTGGGATAAAGTTTGCATTAAGTGTCTATCTCTGGTGCTACTGTTGGTGCTGATTATTTTCAGAACGCTGATGATAGTAATCTCTGATGTAATCAAACTGATCCTGTCAAAGCTGTTACAATTGTTGTCTTTATCATTGTCACCTACTGTGATGGTTAGTTTGACTCTGTCCTGCCTTTGTATTTCTGTATGTCTCGAAATAGTAATTTAAAAAAAAGAAAAACAACTAATTAACGTCGCATTACCCCCCCCCAAAAAAAGAGTAGAGACTGAGCGAGATAATTATCTGTAGTTTACCTCAGTACAGTGGTCAGACGAACATAATTTGTGAAGGATTAATTATTTATAGCTCTGTCGTGTGTTTGAGCAGGGAAGCCTCTTTTCAATCTGTACATCTGTGATTGGTTAACCTCAGCCACAACCCCAGAGTGTGCCACAGTGTGGTCCGTGCAGAAAGACAAAGAGAGGTCGTGTTAAGAGCTGAGGTTTGGTACAGTCGTCTCTACAGGCTTCACATTTGTGTGTTCTTAGTCAAAACACTGCTGTGTGTGCTCACCTGTTTAAATTCCCTGCTTATGATATAAAGAAACTGCAGCACTTTGAGCCCTAACTTGCTGTTTGACTGGTACAGAAGTCAATCAATCAATCAATCAATCTTTATTTCTAAAGCGCTTTTCATACAATAATGTCATTCAAAGTGCTTTACAGATTAAAATCACCTTAAAATCATTCCCTCACGCACAAACAAACAATATCACACTCATACTCAACACAC